GGTTTTCCACCCCCTCACTTTCAATCTGGGGGTGTCTTTGGTTCTAAAATGAGTCTCTTGCAGACAGCATATTGATAGGTCTTGTTTTTTAATCCAGTCTGTTAGCCTGTGTCTTTTGATTGGGGCGTTTAGCCCATTTACATTCAGGGTAACTATTGAAAGATAGGAATTTAGTGTCATTGTATTGCCTGTAAGGTGACTGTTACCATATATTGTCTGTGTTCCTTTCTGGTCTATGTTGCTTTTAGGGTCTCTCTTTGCTTACAGGACCCCTTTCAAGATTTCCTGTAGGGCTGGTTTTGTGTTTGCAAATTCCTTTAGTTTTTGTTTGTCCTGGAAGCTTTTTATCTCTCCTTCAATTTTCAATGACAGCCTAGCTGGATAGAGTATTCTTGGCTGCCTATTTTTCTCATTTAGTGCTCTGAATATATCCTGCCAGTCCTTTCTGGCCTGCCAGGTCTCTGTGGATAGGTCTGTTGCCAATCTAATGTTTCTACCATTTTAGGTTACATATCTCTTCTCCTGAGCTGCTTTCAGGATTTTCTCTTTGTCTATGAGACTCGTAAGTTTTACTATTAGATGTCGGGGAGTTGACCTATTTTTATTGATTTTGAGAGGGGTTCTCTGTGCTTCCTGGATTTTCATGCCTGTTTCTTTCCCCAAATTAGGGAAGTTCTCTGCTATAATTTGCTCCATTATACCTTCTGGCCCTCTCTCTCTTTCTTCTTCTTCTGGGATCCCAATTATTCTAATGTTGTTTCGTCTTATGGTATCACTTATCTCTCGAATTCTGCCCTCGTGATCCAGTAGTTGTTTATCTCTCTTTTTCTCAGCTTCTTTATTTTCCATCATTTCATCTTCTATATTACTGATTCTCTCTTCTGCCTCATTTATTCTAGCAGTTAGCGCCCCCATTTTTGATTGCACCTCATTAATAGCCTTTTTGATTTCTACTTGGTTGGATTTTAGCTCTTTTACTTCTCCAGAAAGCGTTTCTCTAATAACTTCCATATTTTTTTCAAGCCCAGCTAGTATCTTTAAAGTGATGATTCTGAACTCTAGATCTGACATCGTACTAATGTCTGTATTGAGTAGGTCCCTGGCAGTCGGTACTACCTCTTGTTCTTTTTGTTGCAGTGATTTTTTCCGTCTTGTCATTTTCTGCAGAGAATAGATTAATGAGAGAACAAAATGCTAGCAGAATAACCACATCCCCAGAAAATATACTCTAAACAAATCAGAAAAGACCTAAAGCAGTGGGATAAGAAAGGGAAAGAGAGAAAAAAGACAAAGAAAAAAAAAAAGATAAAGATAAAAACAAAAACAAAACGAAACAACAACAACAAAAGGAAAACCAGAATATGATCAAATATGATCTATATGGTATATAGATCAGTGCCACACACCAGATTTGGTGTGTATTTTGGTCTTTTAGAAGAAAGTGCCTCCCAAAATTTTAAAGAAAGAAAAACTTATATATGTACAAAAATAAGGGTTGATATGATGAAGGGATGGAATATGACTGTAAAAATGGAAATTATAAAAAATGTTATAAAAGGAATTGATAAGAAGTTGTTTGAAAAAAGAAAGAAGAGGATTTAAAAAAAGAAAAAAGAAAAAGAGAAAAAAAAAGGGAGAGGATGTGATCAGGCAGGGGAATAGAAAGCACCATATACTAGAGATTTAGGGTATATTTTAATCTGTTAGAAGAAACTATCTCAAAATTTTAAAGAGAGAACAACTTATATATATAAGCCAAAAATATGGGTAACTACTATGAAGGGATAGAATATGACTCTAAAAATGAAAAATAATTTTTTTTTAAAAGGGATTGATAAGATGTTGGTTGAAAAAGGGAAAAAGAAAAATTCAAAAAGAAATAAAAAGACAAAAAGACAGTTAAAAAATTTGACTTTAAAAGACTAAAGAATCATGGTAAAAAAGCCGTGAATTCTATGTGCAGTAGTCCCCTAGCGCTGGCGTTCTGCCGTTCTCATTGATCGGTGAACTTGGTCTTGGCTGGCTGTTCTCGCTGATCTTCTGGGGAGGGGCCTGTTGCCGTGGTTCCCAAATGTCTCTGCCGGAGGCGGAATTGCCCCGCCCTTGCCCCCTCCCGGCTAAGTAAGTTGCTTGGGTTTGCCCTCCGGGGCTTTTGTTCCCTGCGAGCTTTCCGCACAGATTTGGAGGCGGAGAGTGAGAATGGCGGCCTCCCAATCTCCGCCCCGGAGGAGCCGAGAACTCGGGGCCCCGCTCCTCAGTGAGCCCCCAGAGAAAAGGCGTCAGTCACTCCCGTCTCCCCGGTCTCCGGCCGCACTCCGTGCTCGCCCGGCCTGTGACCGCGCGCCTCTATCTCTGGCACCGACCCCGGGTGGAGTCTCCAAACCCAGCAGATCCCTGCGGTGCGCTCCCGCACGGCTCCTCCCCGGGGAGGAAGGTGAGTCTCCCCGGATCTGCCGCTTGTTGGGTCCCTGCTGGAGGAGCAGGGGCCCGACTGGGCCGCGGATCATGGTTTATGGCCACCCCGAGCTGAGGGCCCTCGCCTGGGCTCCGCCTCTGCAGCCGGCTTCCCTGCTCTGTTACCTGGGAGCTCTGCCACACTCAGGCACCCCCGGTCTTTCTGTGACTCCGAGGGTCCTGAGACCACACTGTCTCGTTGGGTTCCACCCCCCGCTCAGCCACCGGAGTGACGTCCCTCAGCGAAGCAGACTTTTAAAAGTTCCGATTTTGTGCCCCGGGCCTCTATCACTCGCCAGAAGCGGCTGACGGAGGCCCCTCCCCCGCCGTCTATCCTCCCGAATATCGCCGCGGATTCACTTCTCCGCACGTCCTACCTTCCAGAAAGTGGTCGCTTTTCTGATGAGAGAGTTGTTGCTCTTCTTTTCTTTGATCTCCTGTTGAGTTTGTAGGTGTTCAGAATGGTTTGATCCCTCTTCAGCTGAATTCCTGAGAGGAGACGAAATCCAGGTCTCCTACTCCTCCGCCATCTTGCTCCGTCACCTCGCTGATTCTTGCAATGAGCCAGAAGAGCTGCACAGAACCCCTGAGGTCCCCAGTGATGTCCACAGGGGACCCCGGAGGCTGTTAGGAGCCAGTCTCTGAGAGGATTTCTGAGGCCTCGGGGCTGTATATTGGGAAGAGGTCCCTGGGGCCTTCCTGAGCTCCACTAGGAGAGAATCCCGGGAGACTGCCTGAGGCTGTGTCAGGAGGGAGTCCCTGCGGATCCACTGAAACTTTATTGGAAGATCTCTGGAGATTCCCTGAGGTCATGTAAGGACAGGATCCCGGAAGAGCTCATCAGGCTATGCAACGAAGGAGCCCTGAGGATCTAGTGAGGGTATGTCAGCTGGGGATCACCAAGGATCCATTAAGATCACACCAAAGAGAAGATTCCTGGAGTTTCTATGGTGACAAAAGGGGGTCCCTGGAGAGTTCCCGTGGTTGTCATTCATCCAACACACACTTGCAGAGGCAGAAGACCTCGGCCCCACTGAGCAGTATCTCACAAGCTACCTGTGGACACAGAGATCATAAAAACAGTCAGGTAAATGTTGCAGGGTGGGCGCAAGGACCTGTGGAAAGGGCATAAAATTCGGTGTCCGCGAGGTGAGCGAGCCATTCTGCTCTCCCGGGAGGGGCGGCCTTTGGGGGTGGTGGGCATACGGCTGCCGTACTGCATGTAAAGAACCCGGCGCAGATCTTGCGTGTGGCAAGAACTCCATCAGTGCTACCCATCAGTAAGCGAGGGGCACGGGCACACTTACACATGGAGCCCAATTCTTGTCTCACGAGAGAACTGGCGGAGGTGCGTCCGCGGACTCCCGAAGTTAGACTGTCCTGCAGTCGGGAAAGGCCAGGACCTGGCTTCTCGGTCCGGGTCTGCGACCAAGAGAAATCCAGCGCCAGTCACGCACGTCACCCCACATCTTCGTTGGCTACGGCGAGTTAAAAGAAGCAAACACCGAAACACCGAAACATAACTTCAGCAGCTGTCATTTCACCACGTAACCAACGCAGACTCGCTCTTTTCAAAGATTTCATTCACTCGAGCGAGCTGTCGAGCGAGCGAGGGCACCAGCCGGGAAGGGGCAGGCGGAGGGGGAAGCAGAGTCTCCCCGCCGAGCGGGGGCCCGACGGGGCTCGAGCCCAGGGCCCTGGGGTCATGATCCGAGTCCAAGGCAGACGGCGGGCCGACAGAGCCGCCCGGCGCCCCACCCGTGTAGACGGACTCTCCCTCCGCTCCGCTTCGTGCCGACTCTTCGAAAACCCTGCTGGGGGCTTCCTGCGCCGGGTTCCGCGACCCCCAGGCGCCCCCCCCCCCCCCCCCCCCCGCTCCGCCGACCCCGCTGCCCCTCGCTGCCTCCGCGCGCCCCGGGCCCTCCCGCCGCCTCGCCCGGCGGCAGAGCACAGAGCCGGACGGGGCCCCAGCCAGCCGCCCGCACCGCAGCCACCACACCCCTCCCCGGCGTCGCCCTTGAATGCCGTCACGCCCGCGCCTTGCGTCCAGCGCGCCTGGGCGGAGGCGGGACTTCCGGGCGCGCGGAGGCGGGACTTCCGGGAGCAGGCGGAAGAGCCTCTGGGCTCTGGGGTCATGACCCGAGTCCAAGGCAGACGGCGGGCCGACTGAGCCGCCCGGCGCCCCACCAGTGTAGACGGACTCTCCCTCCGCTCCGCTTCGCGCCGACTCTTCGAAAACCCTGCCGCGGGCTTCCTGCGCCGGGTTCCGCGACCCCCAGGCGCCCCCGCCCCCCCCCACCCCCCGCCGACCCCGCTGCCCCTCGCTGCCTCCGCGCGCCCCGGACCCTCCCGCCGCCTCGCCCGGCGGCAGAGCACAGAGCCGGACGGGGGCCCCAGCCAGCCGCCACCACACGGACCGCAGCCGCCCGCACCGCAGCCGCCACACCCCTCCCCGGCGTCACCCCTTAATGCCGTCACGCCCGCGCCTTGCGTCCGGCGCGCCTGGGCGGAGGCGGGACTTCCGGGCGTGTGGAGGCGGGACTTCCGGGAGCAGGCGGAAGAGCCTCTGGGCGCTGGGCTCGGGCGTCCGGGGGCCGCTGAGGGGCCGCTCGGGGTGCAGGAAAGGGCCGCCGGGCCTGGCCGGCCGCGCTCGAGGTGTCGGGCCGCGGGCCTGAGGGAGGAGGAGGGGCCATGGCCGGCGACGGGGCCCGGAAGCGGTTCTGGAGGCGCAGCAACGGCGAAGTCCCGGGCAGGTGGGTGTGACGGGGAGGCCGGTCGGTGTCAGGGCTCGGAGGTCGGGCGGGCGCGTGGGCCCGCGGGGCTGCGGGAGGAGTCGGGGGTCTGGGGAGGGGTGAGCTGGGCTGGGAGAGGGCTGCTGGGGACGAGAGGGACGTTGGGGGGCCGGGGGGCTCGAGCGCAGGGTCTGGGCGGTGACGGGGGCTGCGCGCAGACCGAGGCTTGAAGGGAGGAGGAGCAGCTGGTCGCGAGTCTTCCCGAGGCCGCAGGCTCCCCTCGGTGACACTCCTCGGCAGGCTCTCCTCGGTGACACTCCTCGGCAGGCTCTCCTCGGTGACATCCCGGGCGCCCTGGGAAGCCCAAGGGGACCGACTCGGGTCGCGCTGCGAAGGGTTCGGGGAGTGCGGACCTGGCCCGCTGGCCGCGCGGGCTGCGCTTGCCGGGCGATCGCCTCTCCGGGGGGCGCGGCGGTGGGACCCCCTTGAATGGCCTTCTTGTCCCTCCCGCGCTCGGCTGCACTTGCCGGGCGATCGCCTCTCCGGCTGGCGCGGCGGTGGGACCCCCTTGAATGGCCTTCTTGTCCCTCCCGCGCTCGGCTTCGCTTGCCGGGCGATCGCCTCTCCGGGGGGGCGCGGCGGTGGGACCCACTTGAATGGCCTTCTTGTCCCTCCCGCGCTCGGCTGCGTTTGGCCTCGAGCTCGAGGACTCGCTCCGGTGGATTTGAGCCTCCCTGTGAATTTCCACGTACCCCACCTTCCGGCCGCAAAACCAACTCCTTTCTTGAGTCCGCAGCAGGAAGCGAATTAAGAAAAAGAAATTAAACAAAAAATGAAGTGCGTGCAATGACCCGGGTGCACCCTGGAAGCTGTTCGGCTCCAAAGTCCTGATCAGCGTGCGGCTGATCCCCGGCCCGCGCCCCGGGGAAGGTGAAGACAGTGCGTGGACAGTGCCTGGCGAACTTAGATTAGAGAGAAACGGATGTCAAGGTTTCTTTTTCTTTTTTAAAGATTTTATTTATTTATTTGAGAGAGAGAATGAGAGAGAGCACATGAGAGGGGGGGGGCCAGAGGGAGAAGCAGACCCCCCGCCGAGCAGGGAGCCCGATGCGGGACTCGATCCCGGGACTCCAGGATCGTGACCCGAGCCGAAGGCAGTCGCCCAACCGACTGAGCCACCCAGGCGCCCCCACACTGAGGATTTCTTTTCTTTTTTTAAAGATTTTATTTATTTATTTGAGAGAGAGAGAATGAGAGAGAGGGGGGAGGGTCAGAGGGAGAAGCAGGCTCCCCGCCGAGCAGGGAGCCCGATTCGGGACTCGATCCTGGGACTCCAGGATCATGACGTGAGCTGAAGGCAGTCGCCCAACCAATTGAGCCACCCAGGCGCCCCAGATGTCAAGATTTCTTTTTCTTTTTTTAAAGATTTTATTTATTTATTTGAGAGAGAAAGAGAGAGAGCGTGAGAGGGGGAGGGTCAGAGGCAGAAGCAGACTCCCCGCCGAGCAGGGAGCCCAATGCGGGACTCGATCCCGGGACTCCAGGATCATGACCTGAGCCGAAGGCAGTCGCTTAACCGACTGAGCCACCCAGGCGCCCTGCCATCATCTTTTAAATTATGGAGTCTTACCAAAAAAACTGTGTCACTGGTGTATCTCTAGTAGGTGATTTGGCCAGGGTCTCACACTGCATGAGAGGTGGTCTTGCCAGTAGCACCCCCTCCTCTATTCACGCTGGTCCTCAGGTTGTCTATTTGGCTGGGGCTTTCTTAGAAGCTTCTGGGTGAAGCAGGATGTGTGATGTGGTGGAAGCACCTCTGACTTGGTTCTGTGGTCTGGGTTTCAGCCTTTTTTTTTCTATTAATCTCTGTGTGACTTTCACCAGGTCATGTCACCCCTGGGGCCATCAGTTTCTGCCAGTGTAACCTGCTGAAGCTGGATGAGACCTAAGTGGCTGAGATCTCCAGGCACATATTTGTTCGGTCTGGTCCGATTCTCTTTGATGAGCACGAGAGAGGGCCTCTTGGAGGAGCTTTGAGAGTTTGAAAATTCATTCATTCAGTAGATATTTGTTTAACCAACTCTTGGTGCCAATAACAGTTCCAGGGGCTAGAGATACACCAGTGAACAAAACAGCTCAGAACCAGTGCTGTCTCAGAGCTTACAGCGGAGCTGGAGGGGCAGAGAATAGAGACCATGACTAAGTTAAGAAGAGAGTTACCCCTGAGAAGGTGGGAACTGTTATCCTGTTATTGAAACCTCAAGCAGAGAATTGGGATTGGGAGGCGTGTGGAGTGGGGAGGGTTTCCCGGTGATAAGGTGGCCAGAGAAGGTCTCACAGAGGAGGTAACATTTGAGGACTCACAGGAGGTGAGCGAACAGGCCCCCTGGGTGGCTGGGAGGACAGTGGTCTGGGCAGAGGGCCAGTGGAAAGTCCCCGGTTGGGAGCGACAGCGGTGTGCTCGAGAAGAGCGGGGGGCCTGGTGCCTGGAGCCAAGGGAGGAGGGGGAGAGTCCTGGGGCACGAGGTCCGGAAGCTGGTGGGGGCAGGCCTCGTGGTCACAGTGGAAAGACGTGGGCTTTCTGTCTCTTATTCTGATGGGGGAGCGCTTTGGAGGGTCTTGGCAGAGGTGTGGCAGGATCCCTTTGGCCTCTGGGTGGATGGCAGGTTAGGGGCTGGGAGGGAAGGACGGACGCAGGGAGACCAGTTCGGAGGCTGTGGTGAACGTCCCGGTGAGAGAGGATGGTGGTGCTGCGAGAATCAGAGGGCGGGTGATGGGGATCAGGACGCGTTCAGTCTGTGACTCTCTGGGGCTGGTTCTCTCTTGGGCCAGTGACCCACTTGGCTCCGAGGGGCGGCTGCTCTCTGCAGTTGTGGGTGGCACTCTTGCCACACTTAGCTGTCAGTGGCAGGACGAAGTCACCGCCCACCGCGGTGCGAGCGCAGGCGGCCCTCCGGCTTGGGTCCGCCGGGGCCGCGAGCGCTGCGCACAGGAGGCCGTGCGGGCGGTGGGGCCTGTGGAGGGCGACGTTTGTGAGCGGGATGGAGGCAGGAAGGGCCCAGATTGAATCGGCAAGGCTGTGGGTGCTTGGGGTGGAGCTGGAGGAGAAGACAGCTCATGGTGTTGTGGCTCCGACAGCTTTCAGCTTCCAGCGGTCACAGCCCGAGGAGTCTCCGAGCCGGTGAGACATGAGCTCCACCGTCATTGTAACAGGCCGCCATCACTCATCAGCTGAGGGGAGGACTTGTTGGGGGGACAGTTCATTCGTTCAGAACGCATTCTGTGTGCCAGGTCCCGTGCTGAATGCTGAGCCAAGAGATGTGGCTCTCAGAGGCTGCTGGGGTGAGGGAGACGGTAAGCACATTGGTATGTTCTTCGAAGGTCATCATCTGGGGGCATTGGCAGAAGCACAGGACCCTGTGTCAATGGAAGGCCATGCCCTTCCAGAAGAGGTCATGCCTGACCTGAGACCTGTAGGTGGAGAGGGAGCCAGCCCACAGAGATGCACAGATGCGGAGATGCGGGGTGGGCGTCAGAGCACTCCTGGCAGGGGAAGGGTGCTGTGGGGACCCTGGGGCTGGGGAGGAGGACGGCAGGAGGGGAGCCTTGTGAGAAGAGGGGTGGGAGGCGGGCAGGGCTCGGAAGGCCATAGAAAAGGGCCGCCATGAAGCACTGAAGGGTGGCAATCACCAGGGTTCTGGCCGGAGGGATGGGGCGTGGTTGCAGAATGATGAACCCCAAAGATGTCTGCATCCTTATCCCTGGAACCTGGAACCAGACCACATGGCCAAAGAGTGGAAGGTGCAGATCTGCTGACCCTGAGGTGGTACCTTTTCCTGGGTGGCCTGGTGGGTCCAGTAGAATGGAGTGAGCGCTTAAAAGTGGTCAGAATCAACAGCAGATGGACGCTTGTCTTGTCGCTGGCTCTGAAAGTGGAGGCGGGGGCCATGAGCCGGGGGGTGCGGTGGCCTCCAGCATTTGGAGTGGCCTTCTGCTTGCAGCCGGCGGGAACCTCGGTCCTACAACCGCAGGAAACTGGATTCTGCCAACAGCCTGCATGAGCAGGACGTGGACTCTCCCCAGAGCGTCCAGAAATGAGTGCAGTGGCCAACACCTACACTTTAGTCCCGTGAGAACTGCCTTGGACTCTGACCTCCAGACTTTAAGATAATAAGTGCGTTTCAGGCTGTGTGTGGAGGACCGTTAGAGCAGCCACAGAAAAACCCTGAAGTGGGAGGAGGAAGGTTGGAGGAATGTGCGGGAGGGATGTTGGATGGGAAGGGTTGTGGGTAGCCCTCCGCACCTGACCCTGCAGAGTCTTGCCCTTGAATGTGGACAGGGCACCTGCTTCCGTCTTCCCGGGTGGGCTGGCCCCTCACCGCCCACCTCTGCAAAGTGCATTTAGTCCCGAAGGACTGGAACAGCACTGGGAGGGCTCTTCCTCATGTCTCCTTGGGTCCAGGAACTAGGTGGAGGCCCTGCCTCTTTTTCCGGAAGCTCGGATCTGCTGCCCTGACCAGCTTGCTCTTGTGTTTTCAGAAACCTGTTTGTTTCCTTGCTTGTATTTTTGAAGTGGCTGTTTGGACGGAGTGCCTGCTTATTCCTCTCTTCCCGTGTTGCGAGGAGCCCGGGACTCTCTCGGGTGGGTCTTTGTGTCCTGTGCGAGCGGGTCTCTCTGGGCTCCGTCTGTAAGTGGAGTTGGTCTTACTGTGCCAGCGCCTTGGAAGCACCGGGGGTGGGGGTGGGGGTGGTTTGCTATGCACACAGTTCCTCTTGCTTGTTTGTTTCTTGGTGGTCCTGTTTGATGTTACTAAATGCCTTTTTAGCTGGTCTGGAAACATTTTGAAAGATGAACGTGATGTGAATCATATTTTTTCTCTTTTACACATTTGTCTAATGTAGCAAGTCTAGACTCTTGTGGGTTAATCTTAAGTGAGGACAGAAATGATTAAAATAAATAAATCCCTGATGATTTTGATTAAACATTTTTTTTTTTAAACTGAGAGCAGGGGCAAGTATTC